TATAGTATTCTTACATAAAAAACCCCAACTATATTTTCTGCTTAGAAATTAAATATTTTATTTTAAATCCTGACTGAAAATTGGGATGTTAAATTATCATAATATTTCCTGTTGAATTCAAATTAGTTCAGCAAAAATGCTGAAACATTTATCCTATTTTGAAGTGTTTGGACACTATCTCAAATTAAGTATAATGTGCAAAATACAGTAAAAACATGACAATGTAAAATAAGCTATATACCTATAGGGAGTTAAAACCTGAACTGGAGAGTTCAAATTATCAGAACTATATTTTTGGTTTTAAGTATGTGTATATGTTGAAGCTTTTCATGATTAAGACACTTTACATCCATAAATGTAAGAGTAATTATGTGAAGGCTTTACTACCTCAAAATGCTAATAACCACAAAAACTTGAACCCATATACTCCTTCAAATTCAAAGTAAAAACAATGAAGTCACTTTACTTAGGAGTTAGTAATAACAGCTTAGAATACTTAAAAAGAATGAAAAGTAGACTAGGCAATAGATCATGAATTCAAGGCCAGTGTGGAATGCATAAGATGACCCTTTTTCAAAAAAACTTGAGAGGATCCACCCATCTCCCTGCCCTCGGTCCTCTCCATGTGTTTAGAGTCAATAAAGGCTTTCCCTCCCCATTTCTGCTTTTCTGCTGCACCACCACCGCTGCCGCCATCGCTGCTGCTTCTAAAACCTATCAGTTTTGGTGCTGTGACCCAGAACGGTTGAGTAGTGTGGCTCTCGGGGCATCCCCTGCCTCGGTTTTGAGCTCCCTCACTGAACTGCTTTCTGCTTCCACTTTTGCCTCTGCCGCATGCCGCTGCTAGCTCGTATCCAACACCAGCCAATCATGTTCCTCACTCATGAGCCCAAAACTATGGGGGTCTTGCTTGTCTTTCTTCTCGTCTCATCTCGAAAATCGTGAGCTCATGTTGGGACCCACCATATTCCTCGGCCTTCTGGTCCCCGGCTCCCCACTTTTTCTAGTGACAACTGATAAAGTGGGTGTTGGCCTTTTCTCTCTCATACTCACTCCAGGCTAAAAAGTGATGGCTTTTTAGTGGGAAGTGGCGTCTGCCCTAATCTTCGGCTCATGTTAATTCGGCCACCATGGGAAATGCTCTTCCCATCCTTCAAAGCAAACACTGCTGAGTTGTCTCGTAAAGAACCTCAGCACCCTCAAATTAGAAGGATATCTCAAGCCCAAAATAACTTTTCAATTCTATTATCGCAACAGCTAGAAATCCCTTAAAAGCCTTTGTTGACTCTAAAAACACATCCCTCCCACCTTCTTCCCTCTGCTGTCCCAATGTATCCGCCAGTCCTACCCTCTCCACCCCTCTGGTCCAAACTCTGTCTTGTCTCTTCTGACTGCATCTCTACTTACTCCACCCTCTGCAGCAACATCTCTGCCCTGTTTCTGCTTCTGGTTCCCTTGTGGATTCCACTGCCTCTCTCTCCTCCTCCATACTGGAACCTCAGGTGCCAGCGTTTTCCCCTTCCACCTCTTCTCCTCCCGTGGTTCACATCCACCCCCCATGGTTCAACCTCCTCCCAGTGCTCTAAAAGCCTGTGGCTGCCTGCCATGTGGCCAGCCACCGCCATCTTGTGGGCCATGTGGCTACCTGCCACCACTGTGCAATCACACCCTCTATGAGGTCAGAGCGTCAACTCGCAGGGCTCCATCACATGAAGAGCCACCCCCATTTTTTGCGCCATGTGGCCATCTACGGCCACCATAGGGTCGTTCCTCCTATGATGTCCGGGCACCAGCTTAAGGCACCCCATCACATGACAAGCCACTGCCATCTTACATGCTGTGTGGCCATCCACCTCTCTGTAAGGTCACTCCTGTGACATTAAACACTGCCTTGCGGCAGCTACATGACGGGTCACTGCCATTTTCTGGGCCACGTGGCTAGCCGCTACCATGTTACAGATGCTCTTGTGATGTCAGAGCACCACATTTTAGTGCCTCATCACATGATGGGCCAGCCCATCTTGCGGCCTCTCCTTGGTATACAGTAACTATAAATGAGAGGTTTTTGTGTTTTTTAAATTCTTACAAGAGATCTCTGTAAATTGACTTACAAAAGTTCTGACTAGTCTCTCTTCATAATTACAGACTTAAAAAGGTCATCATAGTTTAACCTGGCCAGGAATATATTTGAGTGCACTCTTATTTTATAAAGATGTCCGTGTGTCCTGTATGTACTTGTTTGTTTTTATGTCATTCTGTAAACAGCTGTTCCTTTTTATTTGCACTCTAAAACAAACTTGAAAGCATGCTTTCTCCTGAGTTACCAGCTGGTCTAGGTAATATCAAAATTAATTTATAATTAAATAAAAACCATTAAAATGGGGAAGATTGTTGGACAGGACTCTCGATTGATGAATAGAGGGTGGCCAACCTTTGTTCATCAATAGAGAGCCCCCAATAATTTGGTCATTGGGTAAAAGACAAAGTTTTTTCAGTAACTGAAATAAGGTTTTCTCATAAAAGATGCTTAATATATTAAGTATACTTATGCCTTCTAAAACACTGTATGCTACAATATAAATTTTCTTTCCGATTTAAACATATGCCTTTTTCTTAAGCTTCAGGTATTTATAGTAGGTTCCCATCAAGCCAACATGAGGTCATCAGCCAAATGATAATTTTCTAACTAAAATTTATGTGATATATATCCTATGTATGTGCTGTTATATTTAGAGATGCAAGTTCCTGTCAAGCCAACATGAGGTCATCAGTCAAATAACTTTATAACTAAAACTTATGTAATATGTATCCTATGTACATTTAAAGACGCAAAAACAAAATGGGAATTTCATATGACTGTTATGCTATACTGCTATGTATGACTATTGATGCCAAATGATCTGTACAAAATTATATAACTGTTGTCCATAAACATTTTACAGGGGTTTAACTGCTAAAATGCCCATGGTTGATAAGAAATAATAGTTTTCTGGTTATAGTTTATATTTCAAGGTACTTGATACTCAGATAAATTCTAATAATCAAGTGTATTGCTCCAAACTAAGTATACTGATATAGACCCAGATTCTCTTTAAGGCACCAATTACTATTGATTCCTATTTTATATTCCTATCTGTTCCTGACGTTCATGCCAAACCAAAAAGACAAATCTCGGCCCTCAAACTCCACAGGAAAACGTACTTAATCTAACTTCCCATGTCTTCAATAATAGAGATCAAAATTAACTATATATACTGCCAACTTTTGGCTGTGACACTCGGGACTCCCATCAAAGCAGGACCTTGACAAGGTAATGCTGAGCTTAAACAATGCTGCCACCCGAGCCAAGTGCGGTGAAGAAGGACACTGGGCATGAGCCTGCCCCAATCTGCAGCCATCACTGGGACATCTACAAGCTTGAGGGTCACTGGAAATGCGACTGCCCTGTCCGCCAGAGAGCGGACAAGTCATCCAATTCCCTGCCCTCACAGGAAAACTCGCTACAGCCAAATCCATATACTTGACCTACTTGGTCTTGCCACTGAAGAGCAACAACAGAGCTTGGGTTCCATGGCCCACATCGAGGCACCTTTGTCGAGTCCTGAGTTTCACTGGCTATCTCAGGTAAAAAAACTTTCATACAGGGGGCCAGAGATGGCTCAGTAGAATAAGTGTTTCCCTGGCAAGCACAAGGGCCTGAGTTCAATCCCTGGTTCCGCAAAAAAACCCAAAACCCAAAAACCAACCAACCAAACAAACAAACAAACAAACAAAAAAAACTTTCTTACTGACACGGAGACCACATATAGTGTTCTTCCTGAGTTCTAAAATCGTTGTATTAGCTCTAGTCTCCACAGTGGGTGTTGATGGCCAACCTCCATGACCCATTCAGACAGGCCCATTCCATGCTAACTTCAGACACTGTTCTTCACTCATAATTTCCTTGTGATCCCAACATGTCCTATACCTCTCATGGGGAGTGAACTCCTCCAAAAACTCAAATTCTCTCTTACCTCTCCCTTTCCCCTCACAGTGTACATCCTACAAACCCAACCTCAATGTACAGCCAGCTCCTCCCTCTTCCCTTGTTGACCACATACTCTGAGACACTTCCAGTCCTACTTGTGCCACAAATGCTATTCCTAGACTAGTGTGCCTCAGCAATCCCACAGTGTTTCCGTACATTCCCCATACCCAATAGCCCCCAAACACCAAGAGACTCAAGCCCATCATTCTCCACCTCCTCAATAGTTTCCTTAAAAGTATCCACTTGCTATATAATACCCTCATTCTTCCTGTACTCAAACCCAATGACCTCTTTGCCTTCTCATAGACTGATCCAGACACTCTCCAATTTCAAAAGCTCACATGGGCAGTCCTACCTCAAGGGTTCAGAGATAGTCCTCACTTCTTTAGCCAACACCTTGCTGTTGATCTTGAGATCCTTGATCTCTAGCCCAGCCACTCCTTCAATATATTCATGACCTCTTCCTTTGATCCCCCTCTCACGCCCTGGCCCTAAGACAAACACCTACTTTTCTCAATTTTCTGTCAGGACCAGCTTATACAGTTTCTCCCTCCAAAGCTCAGATAGCTTCACCAAAAGTCAAGTATCTAAGACCCTCACTCCCACTACTCATGCAATCACTGCCCACCACAAAAAAACAGGTTTTATCCTTCCTTGTTTTAGCCAACTTCTTTCATCTCTGGGTTCCCAATTTTGCTTCCCTAGTAGAGCTCCTATATAGAGCATCAAAAGGTTCCCTGTGAGAACCCCTAGACCTGACTGCTCCTATATATCTCTGCTTTTGCAAGGTACAACAAGCCCTCCTAAGGGCCCCAGCTCTCTTTACCCAAACCAACTCAGCCCTTTACCCTACATACTTCTTTTCAAAGTCACAATACAGTGAGCATTTTACAACATAAAAAGGGAACATCTTTTTAGGCAGTAGCCTACCTTTCTAAACAACTGTAGACAATACAGTTGGTAGATAGACCCATGTCTCCACACAAACACATAAAGAGACAAAAAGTTGACTTTAACAAAATACAGTTGTGTTATAGTACTACAGATGGCCTTGACTCCCTTTCCTCACATTGATGTCAAAAGCTAAAGATCAATACTCCTCCTCTTCAACATGGTCATGGTAAAATGACAGAGATTATAGACGCCCCCCCCCGTTTCCCTTCCTGTGTCCTTTAATTATGATGACATGTACTCATAATGCTGTCTTTTTAAATTTTTCTCAAGGTCTCTTCAGTATCCAATGTGAGCCGTCACTAATTATAAACTTCTAGTCCTAGCTGAGACTCCTGGCACTAACTTCTACATGGGCGTGAACCATCATCCTGTCAACTCCCCTCACCCCCAAAACGACAACCCAGTTCAGCAGGAAGCAGTCTAAGAGACACGTCGCCCCCATTATAACAATCAAAAGATGGGAATGATAGGTTATGGCCCTAGTAAGAATTACTGAATTATTATGGTGGTCATCTAATATGGCTGAAGCCCTTAAAACAACAGCTTACCTTCCCAATGACCACTTCCTCCTCCTTCCCCACTCCAGCCCTGGGTACAACTTTCTTTGACCTTTTCCTCCCACACAAGGAAGCCTCCAATCAGCTCCTTACACATCACTAACCCGCCCCTCAAGCTCCGCCCCTGGCAGAAGTCGGTAAAGTCTCAGGCTCCTTGTCTCAGGTCAGAGGATCCACCCATCTCCCTGCCCTCGGTCCTCTCTGTGTGTTTAGAGTCAATAAAGGCTTCCTCTCCCCCCACAAAACAAAAAACCTTAAGTATATACAAAAATAGACACAGTCATAATAAATTAAAAGTGGGTGAAGAGTATGTGGATTCTAAGTTCTGGCCAAATCTCTGCTCAGGACCTCAAAGCACCTGATGAAAACTATAGTTAATCCTCAAGTACATACACAAAGAGATAAATTCTTAAAAACCTCCATTCCATCAAGAATTATTAAATATATACTTGAGGAAGTAAGACACCAAATAAATGTCTATCCATGTCAGTCACATGGTTGTAAGTGGCAAAAGTACTGGATCTTTCTAATGAGAAAAATGTGAATGTTTTTGTGGTACTGGAGACTAAGCCCAGGACTGTGCACATAATAGGCAAGCACTCCATCATTGAGCCTATTCCTAGCCTGTTGTATTTTGTGGAGGTGGGGGCCGAGCTCAGGGCCTTACTAGCTGGCTATATCCTCAAGCAAGGTAACATTAAGATGCTTTGTATCTCAACTGCAACCTGGTAAGTTCTACTTGACTTGGTATAATGGCATTCTGATCACTCCAAAAGCTGAATCGACACACTTTTCCTACTGTGGAAAACTCCAAAGAGAAATACTAATTCATTTCAATTATAAGAAACCTTAACCTCCTTAAATACTCACAGGACACTCTTATATTTTTTATTGTTACCACAGGACAAAGATCAGAGAGGAACTGTTCATAAATAGAAAAAAATTCCAACCTGTGAAATTCTTTTCTATTAAGCAACAATAAAGTTTGAAATATGCTGAAATAAATGCTTCTAGCCTAATTTTCGCCAGATGGATTGAGAAAAGTTTCCATTTCTCTAAAACAGAATATAATTCATGCTTTGCCAAATAAGTGAAATACTCCCTATATGCTCAAAGAAAATCATGTGATGGTGTTCACTGTAAGTTTTGGTTGATTTGGATGTGGATGAAAAGGGAGATAAAGTAAAAACAATGTTTCTATCATCTTTTCCTTAGGATCAGGTGAGTACTACCATGTTTACATAGAATAAAAGTAAAACAGGTATTTTCTAAAGCAGTTATATTTGTGATGATTTATTGTAAAGGTAATTATTACACATATGGTTTCCTCTCCCCTCCCCTCTCCTTTTTGGTGGTAGTGGGGACTGAATCCCTGGATCTTCACACTGAGTTACACATTCCAAGACCATGTTTTATTTTGAGGTAAGTTCTTGCTAAGTTGCTAAATTCCCCAGACTGGGCTCAAACGTGCAATCTTCCAGAGTCAGCCTACTAGAATGCTGACATTACAGGAATATGCCACAATGCCTGACAGTTCCTTTTCTTTGTAAGATTTTTTTCCAAGCTGGCCTTGAATTTGCTATGCAGCCTAGGCTGGCCTCAAACTTGTGGCTATTCTCCTGGCTTGGCCTCCTGAGTGCAGGGACTACAGGGCATGTCATCATTCTTTGTAAAATTAACACCCCAAGTACCCCTGAAACCAATATGTACCAAGACTATTTATAGATGGAGAAAAAAACCTTCAACTATAAGCCTAGGCATGTATATTACTTTGGAAGATGTTTTTGTAAATTTTTTTAAATTGAAGAAATTTTTCCAACAAATACAGATGATGCAAATTCAAAGCAAAAGACTTTTTATCAAACAAGAACATTAAAAACTTAAAAAAAAAAATTTTTTTTTTGTAGTGGTAGAAATTGAGTCTTGAACTCACAGCTTATGCATATATGGAAGTGCTCTACCAGTAAGTTACATCCCTAGCTCTAAACGTTTCTTTAGTATTTCAGGACAAGCCAATTTATTTTATTTCAGAAAATATACCCATTTTATATGTCTAAATATGAGGAAATGAACTTAATTTTCATTAAAATGTCAATTTTAAGCCAGATGTGGTGGTACATGCCTGTAATTCTAGCACTTTGAGAGGATAAGGCAGAAAGATGCAAGTCTGAGCCCAACCTGTCAATGTAGTCAGAATCTGTCTCAAAACTAATCAGTTTTAATTTGTATTGACTTCAAGTTAAAGACAAAACATTTTTTCATTTTAAAATTTGAAAACAAATGTACAACTTGCATAAAACTCAAATATCTGTTAAAAGCAAAAATAATAAATAGGGGGAACCTACTTTCCAGGCCCCCATCTGTCCCTAAAGGAAGTTTTCTTTCTCTCAATAAATTCTTCCTACTCTTAATCTCCCTCGTTCCTATAATTCATTCTTCTATTTTAGAGAACACAAACTCGGCATTTTGGGCTTCTGGCAGGTTGAGATTTTCTTTCCACTGCAGGTATCCCTATAATGGACTGTAATGTGACTATGAACCAGAATAAACCTAATAAATAAATAAACACAAACAAACAAACTAGCTGGCTTATTTCATCAGAGTTTCTACTGCTGAGCTCATAAAAGTATTCTAAAGTACAAAAATAAAAAGGCTGATAATAACCATTATCAATACAGATATTTATATTTCTAACAAGTTTGTATATAAAGGACTGAAGAGTCTATCAATTTAATTAAGATGTAGGTAACCTTGTATCCTAACTCAGCGTAATCACATTATAAATAAATAATCATAATTACCTTTAATTCTTCTATGGACTGGTAGTCATTGTTCTTGATCTTTTCTTTCATGGTACTAAAATCCATTGGGTGTTTAATGATCATGGAGTAGCCAGGAGCAATAAAATCAGTCACAGGAAATGAAAAGAAAGCACTTGGGTCTTTTCTGTCAAGATATGCAAAAGACAATGTTATGTCTTATTTTTATTACAAATAAATCTACTGGTTTAGTATAAGTCGGAAGAAAATCTTCAGAAGTAGTATGAATTTGTAGTATGTTATATTAACATGTTTTTCACTGAAAACTGCAAAAATGATTTTCAAAACCAGTCATTATTTGGTAATAAGGTTAAGGTATTTTACATATTACCTGTACCCTTCAAACAGAAACTAATAGTAAAACATGCAGTCTAATTAAAACCTCTTTTACACAGGGAAAAAGAGGAAGTAAAATAAATAAGACCTGCTAACCAATGTTTTAGCCTTTGGGAGATTATTTACACACACACACACACACACACACATGCACAAACATGCATTTTTTTTTTTTTATCAATTATTAGGAAAATAGCAGAATCATTATGAATGCACATTCACAATCTTCTACTGCTTTTGTAATTAATAGGCTTGTGCTCTTAATTAATCATGGATATAAATTCTCTCATGTGTACATGGTGACGTCCAAAACAGTGACATTAAAAAGGTCTAATATCCTAAATTAAACAAAACAGCCACTGTGCTCTTTCACAGCTGCCCACTCTGTCTCACTCTTTCCCTACCTTTAAATGGCTTGCCCTTGCTCTGCAGAGCTTATTTATTTCCCTACCTTTAATAAACGTTAAAAAATTACAATCAGGTGGGGTTGGGAAGACTCACCCTAGATCAGTAGTGGCAAACCTATGGCATACATGCTGTGGACAGCTGCTTCTCATCACTGAAGTGCTCACCATCACTACCATGGACACATCAAATCAGCATCTCTTAAGAAAGGAAGGTAAACACCAGGCATTGCTATTTCCAGGGCTGAGTTCTGGTTTGGTATTTGGCATTTACTATCTCCAGTATTGTCACGGTTGAGAATCAGGTTCTATATCACTATGTCACTAGAATGAATTTTCTGCCTTATGAAAAGTATACCTGAGCATATGAAAGTTTCTTTTTCCAAATAATAAGAATGAATTTTCTGCCCTATGAAAATCATACCAGAGCATACGAAAGTTTTCTTTTTCCAAATAATAGATAATAAAAATGGCTTCTAAAAAAGGAATCAGTAATACTAAAACATATTTATTATGTTGCCTGGCCCACTGGTAGAAATCTGACATATTAATTACATAATCGTCACAAAAACCATTAAGGTAGTGGGATCCTTATTCTTATAGATAAGAATACTGAGGCCCAGAGAGGTAAAAGTAATTTTTCTTGATTATAAATATAACAAAAGGTAAGAGATGGAATCTGAATTTAGTGTAAATATTTCTTTCTTTCACTGGACGATGTTTAAACAGCAAAACTGAAAACCAACAGTATTAAGCCAAAGTATACAGTATGCCTTACACGGCAAAATCTGAGCCATCCATAGTAATTTCTATGGGCCAGGAGACAGAGGTCAGTGGCATAAATGCCTGGCTGGCAAGCACAAAGTCCTGCATTTGATCCTTGGTACCAAAAAACAAAAAACCCAACACCACCATAGTAGTTTCTGTGAAAAACAGTCTTCATCTATGGTGGACCTTTTAAAACTATTTTTTAAGAAAAGTATTTATATTCCCTAAATTTAGTCATTTTGATAGTCTCACCTCATTTTGGTTAAAAATGGTATCACCAAACTTGATTAACTATATTTTTCACTAAGTTTGGCTCTGAGTCTCAAAGATAAAGAACAATCCAATAGCTAATGCCAGTCCAAAGAATGAGGGTCTGGGTTTTACATAACTCCCAAATGTTCTTAACAATGCTACTGTCTTTGGATACCTCAACCTTATTTCCTTTTAGGGTGACGTTATTAAACTCTGTTCTGGTCTTACATTACCAAAAATAAACGAAGCTAACCAAAACATTCTGTAGTTGTATCTTTTAGTTGAGATAGAATAAATACCCAGTATTTACTTCATTCCTTTGGGATAACTAATGAATGAAATGTCATTTTCTCAACTACTCTGAAGACCATAAAAGAAGAGGCCAGCAACTTCTGATCTTAACTGCAAAGCTGAACATGTGCTGGAGATTAGACTACTCTAGAGACTTTATTTTAAGGACTATTTAGGATGTCTCACTTTAAGATATAAATATAATACAATGAAGAGAAAGCTCACTTAGAATTCATGCCCTTGATTATGCATCTTGTGATGATAATATGCTTGAGTTAAATATTCACATTCTGAATAAAGAGGTATCATAATCAATATTTTATTAAAGACTAATGTATTTTTTTCTCTTTTTAAGAGGTAAACATTGGTTTAATTCACACACTGAAAGTTTTTAAGTCTTTTTTTTTCCTCATCAGTTCTGAGAATTAAACTGTCTTAAACATGTTAGGTAAGTACTCTGAGCTACACCCCAGCCGACGATGAAAGTTTTAAAATGGATTTCTGCATTTATAAGACAAGAATTCTATTTATGGTATTTTTTCCACAATTAATAACTGGGTAATACTGTCATCATGGGGACTGGACAAATATACACAAGGTACTTCCATCTATTAGCAAAGTGGAAATAGTTGTACTATTAGTCCTGGGTTTAAAGTTTTAAACATCAGAAATCACTTTAAAAAAGGAGAAATTTGCCATTAAGGGTATTATGTAACACACTTCAAACCGCCAGTTAAAACAAACCAAGTAAGAACATCTAAAAATCAGCCTCTTAAAGAGCACTTCTATTGCCAGCCAAAATATTTGCCATCCACTTTAAAATCAAGTGCATTTGGATTTAGGCCACAAAATGTGGTTTTAGATAATCAAAATTAGAGAAGTGGTTTGGATTCTTTGAGGTTAGGATTTCAATTTCCACCTTATAAAAACATTGTAAAAATATTTACCTCTGCAATTGTCTCATCAGTTGATTTAAAGCTTCTTGAAGGGGTGTCTGTTCTACTTCTAAAACAAAGAAGACAGGAAAAGGGTGTTTAAAAAGGAATATTCTAGAGAGTACTATTTGGCTTTCATTCTATATGACTTATCTATATCCATTATTTAGTATCTTATACAGAAATTCCATTTATTTTAAAAATACGTTGAAGATTGAGACTATCAATTAAAAACTGAAGCTAATGTAAAACTCTTATGGAGTAAGAGAGGAAAACAAAATACAATTAAAAAATCCACTACAAGTCCTCTAAAATCGGCTAAAGCCCAGTCACTTTACTAGCTATAAGAACTGCAGACTCTTCATTCAAAATAGATAATTCAGTTATTCCAACCTTCTTGTTTGGCTAAAGAGCTTGTGAGAGGCTTCTCAGGAGGCAAGTCTAATCTTACAGGGGCATGACACTGAAAGTCTTTTTCTGCCTCATTCTCCACACGATCTCGATCTCGCTTTCTTTTATCCTCCTAAATAAAACAAAGGGAGATAACTTAGAAATATTTAAGAATCAGTATCCTTAAACTCATGAATCATTTAATTTCAATGGAAAGAAAATAGTCTTAATAAAGAAATCTTAATGTATTTTACTGCCATCTACTGGAAAAGGAGAGAAGGACCTGTTCATAAAGCAAAGTATTTTATGCTAGATATAACCAACTAGAAAAACGGTACTATTTACAAAGCAATATAACATACCTAGGACTAACTATATTAAAAGATACCCATGACCCTGTAGAAAAAAATATGAAGAATTTTTGAAGGCCACAGAAGACCTGAATAAATGAGATATACCATGTTCATGAATTAAAGGACAGCTCTCTCTGAAGCAATCAATAAATTCAGTGTAATATCAATTAAAATTGTAGAACAGGATTTTTCATGGAATTTGACAAGTCAACTGTATGGTTTATTCTGAAGAGTGAATGACTAAGAACAGACCAGTTCTGGGAAAGGTCACAATAAGATAATGTGACTTAGCAGCTAGTAAGTATTCAAATCAAGGAACAAAGTGGGCTGGACATGAAGACAGACATATAGACAAAAAGAACACATGAGAGAGCCCAGATACAGGCTCATGCACATAAAAAAATCTTGCTATATTTTAGAGATGTTATATAATCAATGAAAATGTAATGTTGGACCAACTACTTATATGGAAAATAAACGGTAAAATTAGATTTCTACTGGGGCCAGGGAGATGGCTCAGTGGAATAAGCGCTTTCCTGGCAAGCGCAAGGGCCTGAGTTCAATCCCCAGTTCCACAAAAAAAAAAAAAAAAAAAAAAAAAAAAAAAAATTAAGCTTTCAACCTTGTGTAATGTTCAAACATAAATTCCAGATAGACTTAAATGTACAGAGCAAAGTGTTAGAACTTCAGATAAATAGTAAAGAATCTTTGAGACACAACTGCAGGGATTTTCTTAAAGACACAAAAATAAATATTAAAGGAAAAATCTGACAAATCTGACATTAAATTTATAAATTCTGGTGCCTCGAAATCGATAAACCAAAATAAAAATCTAGCTAAAGACTAAGATAAAGTACTCAAAATACATCCACAAAAGTATTAACAAAGATTACACAGAAGATCTATAAACCCATGTAAAAAGCCAAAGAACATAAAGGAAAATGAGTAATGGATATATCACACGTAATTCATAGAAGAAATCTGAAATGTGAAACATGAAAAGTAGCTCAAGCTTTATAGAATTTAGGGAATTATAAATTAAAAATCTAGAAGACATTTTATATTTCTCTGGCTGGCAAAAATAAAAATGAAAGTGTCTAATTTTAGCAAGAATGTAGTGTTACCTCTTGTAGATGGGGGAGAAAATAGTCATTAGGAAAGCTATTAGCATGATCTACTAAAGCCTGCAGGACACACTCTCGCAGCTATCCCCTCCATGCATGTATTCTAGAACAATAGCAGCGAACCTATGGCATGCATGCCTCACCTGGCTGTTGTTATTGAAAGCTCTAGCAGGTTCACCATCATTACTCTAGAGAAACATCCTTTTGCAATACAATATACATAGAAACGTGTATTAGCATAACAAGTAAAGTACTGTTTTAATTAGTTAAAAAAGGAGTAATTCATTGCCATATAAAAACTGAGCAACACATTATGGCCTATTCATATGGTCAGTAAAAAATTAATCAGATTTTCATTGTATGTTAAAAATATGAATATGTTATCAGTATGCTTAACTCAGAAACACAAAGTCTAGAGAAAATGGTACAGAATCATCTGTTCAAAGATCAGTCGTTTGAAGTCTGAAAATGTATATTCTTTTTTTTTTAATATATTTTTTTAAATTATTTATTTATTTTTATTTATTACATTTATTTATTGTGTGTGTGTGTGGCCAGCTCAGCCCACCAGGGGGCGGGGCTGGCTGGCATGTGGTGCTGGGGGATCGAACCGCGGTCCCTGTGCTTTGCCAAGGTTGTTTCAAGTAGGTGCTTTAGACCACTGAGCCATCTCTCCAGCCCCTGAAAATGTATATTCTTTACAGAGTCTAAAAATAGGCACGCATGTAACATACACCTAATTCAGGAGAGAGGTTCTCTCTAGGCAAAGAGAAGAACAGGATTCTGGAAGAGTACACAGGGTTCTTCATCTATGTTTCTACCCTCATTTCTTTAAAAAATAAAATGAACTGAAGGCATAATGTTGAGATCTGCTGAAGTTGGATGACAGGTAGCTTTGTGGCAGTTTCACTGTTCACCGAACTTTAACTTCTTCATGGGTTTTGCCATGTTACTCAGGACAGTCTTGAACTTGTGCCCTCCAGTAATTCTTCTGCCTAAATCTCAAATTGCTGGGATTATAGGCACAGCCTCCAAACCCATCACTTGTATTCACGTAGTTTTGAAATGAAATTGTCCAAATAGCTGCCTACTTTATGCTCATGGGAATTACAACAGGATCTTATTGACAAAAAAGGGGGGGGGAAGTCCTTCTTTTCTTGGTTTATATCTTATTTTCTATCTAGAAATTTGCCAGAAATACAAATTCTGAGGTCCCATTCTTGTTCTCAAACTTCCATGTGCATCAGAATCATCTGTTGAATACATGACGAGGCCCACTCTCCAGAAGTACAGACCCAGCAGGTCTGCTTCGTCTGAGAAGGTGTAATTTTAACAAATTCCAGGCCCCGTGAGAGCTGTTGGTACAGGGATCATACTTTTAAATTAGAGAACCACTAATGTAGAGCTCTGCAGTGTATCTGTAATGGACGTAAAAATTGCAGGGAGCAGTTTTAAACTGTACTCATCACGCATTTGATCTCAACTCTTACTACTAAATGGTGTTTGGTGTCTGGTTTGTATAACCTTACCACATATTCTTTAGCAACTAATTCTTTGGGGGCCAGTCAAATACCTCAGTGGATTAAAGCAACTGCAAGCAGGCACAGGGGCCGGGGTTTTGATCCCCGGGCCTGCCGTGCTGGCCCTGCCACCAGAGCACACTGAGACAGTGATTGAGACTGGGTATGGTGGCGCATGCCTGTAATCCCAGCTCTTGGGAGGCTATAAACAGGTGGATCACTATGAGTCCGATCTAGTAGTGAGACCCTGAACACTCTGTAGACCCTTCCCTAAAATACAATAAATGAATACATAAATTTCTAAAAAAAAAAGGTTTTTTTGGAAAGTCTGTCTCTTTTGCCCAGAAAAGCATACTCGAATCTTCTGCAAATTGGCAGGTTTAGAATTATCTGTTCTATGAGAAAAGACTCTCAGAACCAGATTCTTTCTCATTAGGTGTGAAATATGAAGGACAGTTTGAAAGGCAATTTTCACTTTGCACTCTATCACATAGAAAAAACTCAAACCAGGTGCCAGTATCAAGAGTCAGCAAGCTTTTTTATAAATGGCCAGAGAGTAAATATTTAGGATTTACAGCTCATAAAGTCTGTCATAACCACTAAACTGTTGCTGTACAAGAAAACAGCCAAATAATAAAGACAGTTTGCTGACCTACAGTCACCTACACACTGAACTACTGTGATGTTTGGCAATGCACTCACATTCACCAGACCTCTTTATCACCGGTGAGGTGCAGATTTAAGTGCTGATTACAGGTAAGTAATAAATGAGCACCAACAAGATGATGCTTAAATGTGGACATGAAATAGAAACATTGAAAAAGTATGTAAAAATGGTATAGTGTTTCTGAACCCCCCTACCTGGTAACCTCATTCTCTTGGCCTGGTCTATATAATTATTACTCCCCTACCCCTATCCCATTAACCCAGGGCCTCTGCATTGAGCTACATCCCCAGCACTTTTTCTCCTTCTTCCTGCTTGAGCTTTATTAAAATAGTTTAAAGTGACATTTCTTGTTTTCTAAGACTTCTGTTGCTTTTTTCCATCTGACTTAAAAACTGATTACAACAAATGAAACAATTGATACAGTATCTTGGTTTCTGTGAAAATGCATTTCTCTGCAATTCCTGAAAAGCTTCAAATTATGCTGAGATCCAATGTTTACTCTGGGCTTTAGATTTAGTCTTTCAAAAACTGTGTTCTAAGCCTCTGACATCCCCACTGCTATGCCCACCACCAACGCTGTGGTGAAGGTGTTCAATCTAGGCGTCTATCTTGAGTTGTCTCTCACAGGCATTAGTGCATACAATTGTCTTTTTGTTTACTTCCAGCAGCTCTATGTTCTAGGAGGGCCTTATACAATGTTACTCAATGTTATTTAATAGCTACTGAGGTCAGACAATCCAAGGCTTTCATGCTAAAATTAAAGTTTTTTAAGGAAGTTCATAGATACTTCCAGAATTGACTTAATCTCCTATATGGGAACATACCTAAAGAAGTCCAGGGTGGGCTTGTGGTCTCCCAATTCTTTCTATTTGTCAATCTCTATTCACCAGTAGTATGCAAGGGGGGTTCTTTAACAAAGTATCACATACAAAAACTCTACCAAACTACACAAACTTTTTTTTGGTAGCTAAACAAGAAAAAAAATTTTCCCCTTCCTTTTCCCTTTTATATGGCAGGTAAAGCTTACTGGCTCTGGAGTGGCCTCTATTTGCAACCTTTGGTAAGGGAGAGGGATTCAGAGAAAATAATAGCCATCAAACAGAAAAAGGAGGATGGCAAAGGAAAAAAATTAGGCAGTACTAATCGTTCATTCCTGTGCAAGATGCTCTCACTCAACACAGTGCTAACAGTTGATTTCACTCATCTTAGTTGATGGCTATATGACCAGTCTCACCACACCTATAGCATTTCACTTTGGTGCAGTCTGTCTCAACGTGTCTCAACATGCCACAAGAACAGCACTTCTGTTTATCTCAAGGTCAGTCTCAATTCAGATGGCTTGGTTCGCTACAGCTGCAGAAGCACTGCTCTCACTCAGGCTCCATGCAGTCCTTGGCAATGTGGCCACCTCTATTGCAGTTAAGGTGGGAGTCTTCCTGAAGATCATAATCCTTGGCAAGATGTCCAGA